ACCAATAACTTTTCATATCTTACTCAGCCTCAACCAATAATATTTCATATCATACTCAGGTTCAACCAAAAATTTTTCATATCATACTCAGCCTAAACCAATAATTTTTCATATCAATAACTCAGCCTAAACCAATAATTTTTCATATCATTAACCTTGCCTCAACCAATATTTATTTGACTATCACAACCACTTATTTCTCATAACATATATATCAACAACATTTTCACTTACTGTTTGTAGTTGAATGCAATGTCAGCAAATTCTTTCCTTCTTTTCCTGTAAACTGAATCAGTGAATCCCTGACGGAATAAAAAGATATAAATTGAATGTGGTTTCCTGTGGACTCCTCACACTTGTTTTTGTGCCAGGAATGGCTGCAAATTTTTACAAAGTAKMAKCTTCCTTTAAAGWYGGCACAAGRSATTGTTAAARAGRGTGTGRAAGTKTAAAGTTTTYACTGRATCTTACTGGATGGTCAGAATCCAATTCAGMACCATAGCTGAGCACTCGATTRGCAAATTTATCAATGTCMGAAATGGTATGAGGAAACCATGGCACTACAAAGAAAMAAAGTTTTCAATCAATTAAGGATTATCAATTTTTAACAAGCTAATTGTAGTGYCGGCTTTATCAGCTTAAATATCTGCCATAATCATGTATACCATATACATTCAATTACAGCTTATAGTTAATGAAACATCAACTGGTATTTATTTAAGCTAATAATACTTCTCACTATATAATCTTATAATACTTTTTACACTTATGAATATACAGTCAACTCTCGTCTTACAGACACCCCGCTACAACGGACACCTYGATATTGCGTACAGTGGATTGTGGACTCTAAACTACGGCCCCTGGGTTTCTGTAATAGCGCGAGTTGACTGTAAGTTTAACATTGGTGCTTTGATAATTACTGTTACTTGTTACTGTAAATGCAGCTTSATCTAATGTGATGTGCCTGTGCWGGTATCTTTAAGGTGCACATGACAAACTTACCATCTCTGAGCGTTGTCACTGAGTCTGCTCACAGTGAATCAAACACCCAATTGATATCAACAAAATTATACCATAAACAAAAAACACTGTCATTAGCGTCAAGCTTATAATATAATAATATAATCCTATTTATATAGCGCTTATCCAATTCTGTTCTAAGTGCTTTAAAACTACATGACAACTACAAAACAAATGAGAGTCTTGGTAGACTGTGAGCTTGAGTTGGCGCCTCTGGCTGCCGCTGCACAGTCCGTCCCAAGATCTCAAACTAAAAATTAAAGTACAACAATCAGATTTACATCACAATAAACAAGTGTTTTTGCATGATGCCCGGTGGCTTAACCGAGCTCATTCGCGCTTGTAATGTTTTATTCCCAATAATGTTAGCTAAATGTACAAATGACTTGGTTGTTCTTATAATTCCTGTTTTTAATATCTTTCACTTTGCTATGATAGCGGACCAACAGACATACGCATGAAGACTGTATATGCAAAGGTATGATGAACATTTCACATAATTTCATGTTATCTATAAGAATCTATAAGAATGTACCATTGAGGATGTACAACAACGAAAATTGTCTGAAATTTTGTTAAATGAACAAAAAACACACATAAGAATGTGAACCCAGACAAAACCTGAGGTGATTCTGTCAACAATGTGAATACCTTGTTATTGACACACTCTAAGTAGTCAATCAACACACATTAGATGTGTTAAAAAAGTACTGAAACTTTGTTTACCCACTAAAAGGAGTTTTGATTTGTCCTCCCCTTCTTGAACAAAATGTTTGTTTTGCTTCAGTCAACCACAAAAAGTCAAGTGGTTTTGTGAACAATTAAATAATACTAACTAAGAATAGKAATAATAGAAATATTACCTGTTCCTTGGTCATCAGACAGTAAAGTAAGACTTGTTGACTTCTCTTTCAAAGCATCAATAAACAGGGTCAGTTTATTTCCCTTCAGATCTTGACAGTCCACAAAGAAGTCATATTTTGTCTTTGATGTCTTGTTTGGACGTGACTCGATATGGGTCATATTCACCTGATACTCCTGTCAAAAGTTTGGAAAATATAACACTGGTTTTAAAAGTAGACTAATAAGATTCTTGGTAGGGAGGGGTGGGGGTGGCCTCCAAATATATATATATTTTGCATTCATCCTTATTTCATTTCTTATTTTCAAGTGGATAATACTTAGATCACGCATTAAACGCATGGGTAACCAWAATTATAATATTTGGATCACGTGTATGCAACGAGGCGCGAACACGTACACCAAACGAACCTCGCTTGTAAACAAAAAGTTTTGATCCTTACTATTTTTATACTTTTAGATTCTGTACACAATAAAGCAGTCCTTCATCTAAATTTACAATCGTTAGTTTAAAAAGGGAAGATACAACGTAGTTTAAGGTCCCGGCAGACGTCGATCTTTTGTCGCATCAAAAATARTTGCGGGAGTCTACAAATTGTAGTTTCTAGTAAGTTACTTTCCTTTTATTAACATTGGTAGATTTTGTTCAGTTGGACGAACTTATTATAATCCGTAAATGTCAATAGATTTAGATTGCAAACTTCTTGTGCRTGAGCTACATGAAGCAGTTAGTTAAATACAGCAAAGATCGACGTCTGAAACGGGGATAAGCTTTCCTATTGTCTAGGGTACTATTGTGTGGTGTACGTGCTAATGTGATCAAACTTACTTCGAAAAGTTTCAGAGCTCTTGCCAACGCTCCAACTTCTTCATCGAGTGTAAATACAATAGTAGATTTTGGTGAATCGTTCTCAATATCATTTTTCTGTAAAAGATGTACAAAATAGCTCGTATTGTTAGCAGAATATCATATCGACAAACGAAAGTTGTGCAACTTTTGCGCCACGCAAGTGAAAACAATCATAAAGCCAAAGATGTTGACAAAAACGAGACAATTACAAATATTTCACGAAAATAASCTTCAATAAAGTGTAAAATAGATGTAGGCTCGTTTGATTACCTTTCTTTTCCCGAATTCATCTTCCATTTCGAAATGTTTCCTCTTTAGTCCGGCGTCCATGATGGTTCTKGTTTGTTGATCAGCYCGTTTGCTATGATCACGTGACATCTCCATTGGGGGTGTGTATAGGGGATGGAGGTGATTACTACTTTCAATACAGCCCCTAGTCTTAATGGACCTACAGGAACATTTTTTCTTTATTCTACAACATGCATATTCGTAATAGTTATAACTTTAATAGCTCTTTCTATGTGGGCTTTGGAGCCACTAGAAATGCCTGGTGCAGCCCTGAGTACTATATGCTCATTACTTGACGATGTTTTTGCTAAGAAATACTTGTCCTATATTCGTCAAGAGCACAGATATACTACACTGAGACAGTAAATTTTCAAATCAAATCAAATCAATCTTTATTTTCATTTCCATATATTTCATTTAAATTTAAATTATTTACATATTTTCATGTCATATTTTTCAATGTCACAATACCGCGATACAAGGATTTTTCACCCCCCAAACTTGAGAAGGATAAGTGGCCGGATAGTTACTGCGAATCCTTGTTGCCTTAGTTACACATAACGCCGCTGTCTTGGATATAGGAAGAGAAAGTCCTTTTAATTGAAAGAACTTAGAAAAATAGTTGAAAGAAGGCAAATCTAGACTAATACGAGTTTAAGTTGACTTAATTGATCAAAAGTAAATGCAAAAACATGCTGTCGATTCAGTCTTGACAAGAAAAAGTATAAACGTCTAATTTAGTGAGCAAACATCATAAAATAGCCCTAAGTTTGATGGATTAAAATGAATTAACTGATAATAAAATAGTAATAAAATGACAAGAGAACTGTGATCAGGAAGTATTACTGAAGGACTAAGTCAAGATCAATAACCGCCTCAACAAGTGCCGACTTGCTAGGAGTTATTACCCATCTAGACCTCCAATATGAGGCTTTCCATTGTTTTTAATTGGCCCTGATGAAAGTACAACACTTTAAAAAACGCGTTTGGGTTGATTATATGGCCACAGTAAATGTCGCTTTAGATATGAGGTCGATATACAGAGATGATATAACGCCCAGCAATGTACGTGCTGAAGCCTTCAGCGGTCGGTATGAAATTAGTCCGATAAAAACTTTTTAACGTATGTCRWCGCTGAGATATATTTGAATTTCAATTCGTGGCTGTATTATGTCTGTTTGTTTTCTTTTTAAGCCAACAAACGTCACCTTCCAACAGCTGTATTGACACTTGAAGAAGAAAAAGTGCCATCTCTTRTACAAAGAAGAAGGGTCGAATTGGGATGGAACGTTTGATCATGAATGGAACRTTTGATCACGAACGGAACTAATAGCAGAGCTCAGTGTATCAGGTGAATCATCGATGCTTACTATTTAACTTTTTTGGTGGATTTGATTTTCAACATTACGAAGAAACAAACAACAGCATCAAAATATGGAAATATTCTAATTTGGAGCACTTKATCGCATTGGAACATTTGATCGAGTTAGTGATATGGACATAATCGAATTAGTCTCGTGAAGACCATCTATGTTCAGAGGTGGAGTTGACTTTAGTCGCCGCACGTGCCTATGTTTTATTGCGAATAGGTCATTTGATCACTACTTGAATCACTGAAATTGCCAAGCAAGTTTAAATTAAGTTGGAAACGGGTTTTAACAGCTGTATTAGCTATTGTACCCTGGTCTACYCTGAAAGGAAAATCAACGTATTTAACAGCAATTCATAAGCGATCTCGAAGACAAAAATACCATACATTTGATCATAACGATCCAATCAAATGGAACATTTGATCATGAATGGAGTTACAAATCAACCAATCGAACAKTCGATCATGAATGGAACACTTAATCGCACATCAAATGGGAATGAATCACCATTCAATACCTTTCTTGGCTACTGGATTACTATGGGTCTTATAGGCGTTATCATAKTGTCTGGCAATAGTTTAGTAGTGTGGCTGTTCTTTACAAGAACTAGACTTCGAGTAACTGGAAACATCTTTATAGTATCGCTATCCTTTGCTGACATGGGCGTTGGCTTGACAACAATACCTACATCATACRTATGCAACTCGGCAAAGGACTGCAATTTCTTTATAGCTGAGATTTTTATTGATTTTTTCCTTTGTGCCAGTATTGGAAGTCTTATCACGATGACATTAGATCGATATATAGCTGTTGTATCGCCATTAAGATATTCATCGTTCATGACAACAAGAAAAGTGATTATCATAGTTTCTCTGGGATGGCTGCTTCCAAGTGTCACTCAACTCGTCCCCAGTGCTATCATTAATGTCATGRCACAGGAGTCCCGTARGGAGGGAGAGAAGGTTCTGCGMGCCGTTCAGATATTTGTTTTTGGGATATTATCCTGCRTCACGATGCTGTTAGTTTACATAAGGATCTTTGTGATTGCACGGAAGCATTACAGAAAAACTCGCAAAGTTGAAAAGAGTTTGAGCTTTAACAGCGAAAACACAGCGAATTCATCTATGGCCAAAATGAGTCATAGTGCCTCACAAGACAAGTCTTTCATACATGTCTTAGGCACCGTTATAATTCTATATGTTGTCTGCTATTTATTAACYATATATAGAGGTATTTGTTTTTATTTCAATATTTGCAGCGTCCCGATAGAGGTTGTTTTGATTTCAAGGTTGCTCCTGCTTAGCAACAGCGCCGTCAATCCAGTTGTCTATGCTTTGATGAAAAATGATTTTAGGAAAGAACTTAGACGAATCGTGAGAAAGAGAAAAAGGAGCATGCGCACTGCAAGATATTCCCAGCCTGAATTACAACAAATGCGCACGTTCGAAAGTAACTGATGGCTGAGTCACGTGACTCAATCTCACGTGACATGACGTCACGCTTTCTTCACAGAAACCACAAAATTAACCACAAAATTAGTTTGATCATTGCAAAGAAAACACATAAACGGATGTCTAGGAATATTTTAACGGACTACATTCAACGTCATTGCTCAAGAAAATGGAGTTGCTGCTTATTTCCTATATTTTTTTTATGATTTTCTTTCCCACCTGTCCCTATGAGCGTCTATGGAAATGAAAGTTTCTTATTGACTTTTTTAATAGTGTTCGGATATCAAGTTAGACTGTGACTGTAGTGTTATCATTATATCTTGACAGAAATGATAATAGTCAAGCTACGGTGCCTCACCGACTGACGGCCTATTTGTATTTGTGTGATGTCACGGATGATGTGATGTGACTAAGATACAATAACCATGATATGCCACGCTAAGCCATATCAGGAAATGATCATATTATACTATCAAATCATATAGAGACAAAATAAAGAATAATTATATTACTGACTTTSCAAATAGCCAAACAACCCCACAGTACTTTTTATCAACAAAACTCGAACCATTATCTTTTTTTCGGATATTAAAACTTTCGTAAGAGGAGATATAAATCTTTCTCCTCTTAAAAACAGACACCTACTCATGTCGGGATATCTACAAGATCTACAAAGGTCCTTGACTGACTATCTTGGACTATCGCTGCGAGCTCTTTGAAGCCGTCGTGATTTTTTTATGCCGCAAATAAATGATGTCGATGACACTGATGATAAAAACATCAGTCTTTGTAAATGAAAGAAAGTTACCGTTAAGAAAAATGATAGTCGATTCGAAAAAATGTCGGGAACAATTAAAATCGGAATTGTTCTTAGCAGAATTGCTTCTCCAAAAAGTCTTAAAGTGCTGAACTGAGCAAGAAGCTATTCAGAATAGGAAATGTAACTTGTAACTTAAATTGTCCGTCATTTTTCAAGTCTTTCATCATCTGTGATATTAATGATTTATCACAAAAGTGGAAAAAGTAATGTTAATTTTATATTCTATATATTTGTATTAAATTGATCACTATGAAAAATCATTCTTCAATATTACGTATGTGTATTAACATTGGTTATATGAGATTTTCCGCCATTACCATCATTATCAATACACTAATTTTCTCTACACACAAACAACACGGATTTCGTGTAAACTAGGTTGTATTCATTCATTTAAGAAGTAAATGCCTTTAAGCCAAACTAGCCTGCTATCTTGTCGCACTAAATTGAGCCCATATAATCAAATTATTCTGCCGGAATACGCATAACGACAAAGGCATTAACTGAAAGCTTCATTAACAAGAAATAGGAAATTTGAAATCAAAACAGCGCTAGTGTTAATCMCTAGTACAGCCTAATCATCGTAATTGAATTTGCTAAGGGAAATTCGACTAATAAATAGAGCCGTTGCCGTAATGGCCGCCGGTACATTAGCATACATTTCTTCTCAAAACAACACAAAATGAACCCAGAAATAAATAAAAGTTAAACCTTACTTAGGAAACTCAGCAGAAGTTTCAACTGCATGATATATTTTTCGAATTACTTGAAAAGCATATGGTTGGGGGTATATAATATACACTTCTGTAAATCTGTCAGGTCTGAAAAGTTCACATATCTCTGCTGTTTTTCATTGGAGTTTACCAGTGAAGGAAGTTGTTTAGTATTTCTGGTGTCATTATAMTATGTGTYCTCCGGCGTTTGAGACATGCCTAATGTGTTCTCGTACCGTTTTTACYGTTTTAAGAAAAATAWGGCGTTTCTGCAAATTTAAGCCGCCTCTTCATTCTAGGAAATGGTTTAAACAGATTAAAACAATGCGTTGGGGTGGATTTATTTTCCGGAGGCAGTCCATCTCAAAAGTTTGCTTTCCCTCCTCATGGATTTGGAATTGGTTTATAAGCTTTCCAGGATTACAAACCCTTTTCGTTACTTATAATTTAATTCTACACTTGCAATTCCGCTTGTTTTATAATATGAAGAAAAACTCCGAAAACTCTAATCACAAAATAATTAGTTMTAAGAGATGGTCTCTCGAATTGAAGGATCAAATGGAGAAGTTTAAGTCGGAAAGGAGTTTTGTTTGAAGTCAGTAAAAACACCAAATAGYGTTCTACCRTTSGATTCTTCGCATATTTKCAAAATTKTAGTAACGAACYAGACGTMTTTWCAGATAGCTTCGTATGCACACTTTTGAAGATGYGTTTTGATTGGTTGATTAGTGGTTGATTACTAATCACGTGGTGTTAATGAAATTACATTTAAC